GCTCGCTGCCTAGGTGTTCTCTTTGACTACGACCTCTCCTTCAAGCTGTTCCTTCATGTTTAATCTATCGCCAAATCCTGTCATTTCCATCTCAAAAACATTGCGCGCATCCGCCCCTACTTAACGCCAGATGCGACTAAGGTGTTGGTCCATTCCACTATCCTTTCTCGCCTTGACTACTGTAATCAGCTTCTCAGTGGTCTTACATGCTCCCAACTAGCGCTGTTACAGTCCATAATGAATGCAGCGGCGAGGCTCATCTTCCTGTCCGCCCGCACCTCCCATGCCTCACCCTTCTGTCAGTCCCTAAATAAAATATAGAGCTCAGTTTAAAATTCTGGTTCTTGCTTTCAAATCTCTACATAATGCTGTTCCCACCTATCTATCCTCCCTTATACACAAGTATGTCCCGTCTAGGCCCTTACGATCTGCTGAAGACTTACATCTATCTTCTGTCCGTACTCCCACCTCTGATGCTCGCCTTCAAGATTTCTCGAGGGCTGCACCGTTCCTGTGGAACTCGCTTCCCTCCTCCGTTAGATGCTCACCCAGTCTCCACTCCTTCAAAAAATCATTAAAAACCCACTTCTTCATAAAAGCGTATCAATTAAACTGTTAATAGCTCCTGACTGATTCCTCTTCTGCAACTGTCATTAGTCTAATACTATCCTTACCTTTTTGTGTCATTTTGCCCAACTCCCTCTAGCATGTAAGCTCATTGAGCAGGGCCCTCAACCCCTCTGTTCCTGTGTGTCCAACTTGTCTCCTTACAACTACATGTCTGTTCGTCCACCCATTGTAAAGCGCTGCGGAATTTGACAGCGCTCTATAAATATCATCATCATAATAATAATAATAATAATAATAATTTGACCCCTGGGACCTCAAAAGGGTGACGCGCACCCGGAACAGCAAGCACAGAAGTGAGACGCAAGGCCCAAGAAAGCAAAAGCTAGAAGATGGCGGAGGAGCAAGCACTCACCTTTCCCGCGCCAGACGGCAAGGCGGAGGGGACCGTTGAAGCTAAGCACAGAATCACCTCAGGTACCCACCGCATCAGGGGTGAGCCTACCCCAGCAGCACGGCCCAGCCATTCGACCCCACACAGACCCACCTGATCGCTGCACCACAGCACGGCACCAAGGGCAACTGCAGCCCCAACGAGGCATAGGGTGAACCACCCAGGGTGTAACGGAACACTAGCTTTCCTGGCTGGGAGACCTCACACAGCACCCAAAGCCATAGCAGGGACTCTTAAGGGCACATTTCTCTTTTTGCTGGCTTATGTGGAGTGGGACTCATGCCTGGGGGACCCCAGGGGACTTTATTACTTTGTTTAGTATGATTTGGTTTATCCATCTGCAGTATCAATTTTCTATCTCTCGTATTAAAGCTCAAGGAGTACACTCAACAAGGCACACACAGACAACTCTCTCGTGTACTCCACAAACACTAGTTCCAGCCTGCTAAACTATGTAAATTATTTGTTTTACCTCACCCATGCTATACCACACGCTTTCAGCTCTAAACATAACCTTTACATTCGTATGCATATGCACTCTTGTACCTTCACTATACTCAAATAATGTATCAAAGCATGCTATTATCATTCTTCTGCTTACACCATAAAATTGTGCATTGAATAGCGAATACCCCAGTTGTTATGTACAATGAGCAGCTAGAGGATTGCCGTTGGGATACCTCCAGCCAGTTTGTATTCATTACATGCACTGCAAAAAAATTTTATTTTTTTTTAAATTTAAAATGAAAGAATATTCCATTAAAGAAATGCAAAATTAAAAATAATAAAAATAATAATGAATATAACAAAATGAAAATAAAAATACAAAAAAGAATACTCACAAGAAACATATTCACGTTGAAGTTCTTTTTTATAAAAACAGACCATTTCAGAGTCCATGTTTAGGCCTTTATGTCGCATGATCT